TTGCATTTTAAAATGTTACTTTGTTTTATGTATGAGTGTTTCTCACACTATAGGGTGCTCTGAAAATGTCCCCAAGAGAACCTGCTAAATGCGGACGTCTAGCTCTTACTCCCAAAGAATGAGACTCAGAACACTGCACTTTTAAAAAGAACTCGAAGATTCTGATGCATGTGGTCACTGGTCCGCACCCTGAGAAACACTGCACACTGCGTGCATTTAGACGGGAGTCACTGTCAACCTGGGGGATGATTATGTCGCATAAACCAAAACCCACCTGTATTGTAGTGGACAGGACTGAGAGCTGAGAGAGAACATTTATATTTGAGGCTTCACAAGTTGCCTGGGATTAAGATTCACCACACAGTTATTTTATTATTGCTTATAGGTCTTGGTAAGACGCATTCACATGGGTATGTATGTGGCTGACACATGGTATATGACATGCACATCCCAGTGACTGACCACTCATGCCTGGCATATGACAGTGCTTAACACAGGAGGCTGTGCTGGGAGCTGGCATGCCACCTGCTGTTTTCTGTTTCTAACAGTACCTAAGGAAACCAGAGAAACTACTCAAACCATTCTCTTAGTAGCACCATCTATAATATATCTATAAAAAGCCAGCAGCCAAATAACATAACAACCAGAATAACCAGTGGCTATGATGCCCACTGCAGCCAGTGAACGGCTCAATCTGGGGGTGGGGCCAGCCGGCCAACTTCCTGCAGCCCCTCCCCCCACCAGCCAGCTGGGTCTCCTAAGACCATCAGAAAACACAAATATTTGCATTGCAATTCATAGCAGTAGCAAAATTACAGTTATGAAGTAGCAACAAAAATAATTTTGTGGTTGAAGGTCACCACAACATGAGGAGCTGTATTAAAGGGTCGTGGCATTAGAAAGGTTGAGAACCACTGCTCTAGACCATCCTTTTGATCACATAGGAGGCTTTGTTGGCAACAAAATATTGCTTCAGTGCCTTTATGAAGTCATTTGATATCCTGTGTCCCTTCAGTAATGAGCAAAGAGCTGCCTGCCTGGCTGCTTAGCCCTCCCCACCTCCTGTCCCAAAGTTGGCCACCTGCTTCTATATATTTTTTTCTATTCATAATCCCCACATCTCTCATCCTCCTTGTACTAAAACACTTTCTTGTGAAATGATAAAATAAACTGATTCGCATTATAGTACACATGATGAATAAAACATAAAGAGTTTCCTCTTCCTGGCTAGTGGTAGTTTTAAAATAGGGAAACCTTTCAGCTATAAAGAAATATTTAATAGTAGAGTATTGGGTGCCTGAAAGCTGGCTGGAAAAACACCTTGGGGTTGAGATGTATGTATGCGTGCATGTGTAGAGGGTGGCCTGGGGATCTCAGGAAACATGTCATAAAAGTGAGCACATTTTGGAAGCCATTTTATAGTATATGAAATGCATTTTTATAGCGTGTGTTCCTAGGCATTGGCCATTGATTGGGGGACATGAGGAAAAGGTGATTTCCTTGATGCAGCCTAATGGTCAGGGCTCCATTCCCAGAATAATGGCATGGCTTGGCCACATGCCCACCTACTGGGAGTGCCTTTCCCTGAGGGAAGATGGTTGTCCCAAGGATGGGAAGGCAAGGCAGAGGATGCATGCTCGCTTCACTTATGGCCACATTATCTTCTTCCTCCTGAGAGACCTCTGGGTCCTTTAAGTAACTTCCCAGTCATCAAATCAGTCTTTATTAAATTTTCACATGCACTTAGTTTTAAATTCAATTTGAAATGTGCTCCAAGGAGCATCATATGGACTAAATAATTAGCTAAAGAGAAATGGTACAGAATAGATTTTAGAGAATGGCACAGAGCAGTGCCTCTCCTGTACCACCAGTAGTAATTGATGTAATTTTAATGTAATATAAAGATAAGTATTTTTATTGTGAGTCATATATTAATTTTCCATTATATGTAAAGGAAAACCAGTCAAATGAGTGGTTTTAGGAATACATTAGCTTTGGACAAAGCTAACACAGGGTAAGTGTTTAGAAAGTAGGTCCATTTAAATAAAAATATTTTTAAAATAATGATATAAGGACTTTGCTAGAATTTTGAAGGCTATGCTCAAGTGGTTAAAGTTTAAGAAACTCATCAAAACTAGTAGATCATATCTGCATATCAATAACCCTTGGTTGATGCCTGTGATGAAGATGTACTGATGACCTTGGGCAAGTTGCAACCTCTCTAAGCCTGTTTCCTTCAGGTCATTGGTGGCCTTGAACAGGATCTCCAAGGTCCCTTCTAATGCTAGTATGTGGTGGTTTATCTATATTATAGGTTACCTTCTGTGGGTAATGAAGAAGAGATGGAGAAATTCAGTCAGTGTGGTCAATGGTGATGTCATGGCTAGACACACATAAGCATTGAGTTAGCTCCTGGTTAACCTCCCAGAAGCAGTGAGGAACAGAGGAAGGTGCACTAAATTGGGAGTCAGGGGACCTACAGGTGAGCTCTACCACTGACTACTGGTATTTCCCCTTGGCTTCCCCGAAGTCACATGCTTTCTTTAACCCCCTGTTTCTCTATCAGTGAGGGCAAAGGGGTCATTACTGTGCAGTCTTGTTGGGCAGCTCAAATGCAGTGTGAGGAGACAAATTCTGCACAGACATAACTCTTGTTCTCCTACTCTCTTGTAACCATCTTTGTGTCATTTCATACTTTTTAAATAGAGTGTGGTGGTATGTGTAATTATATTATGATCAGACAGAATTTTTTAAAAAAAATAGGTTATATTCAAGCTAGTCAGTATTGATAGTTTCTAAGAGTTCCGATAAGATGGTTGATGTTGGAGAAGGAATGGTGAATTTTGGCTCATTGTGGAAAACCCCAGAAACCATCACCTACCAGTCACCTCTAATTCTTGTCTCAGTGAAAAGTTGTAGCCATCTCCTCTTCTAACCCTATCATCATAAGTGGAAGATGAGCTAGATATACTAAATTATTTATCAACCCCACTGAGAGCACTGCTTTTTATGAGATTCCTTTCCATTAGCCAAGAATTCCCAATTGGAGAGGCGACCTCAGATTACAGCTCTCTCAAGGTTTGTACACTTCACTCCCCTAGAATAGCCAGGTTACACTTTCAGATTACTCCTTGTTAAATTCAAATTATGGTTATTTTTATGCAACTTACCAAGCTTGATTCTCTGATATCTGCTAGTTGATGAGGAGAAAAGCACTGTTAGAATGTGACACACAGAACTTGCAACTTCCAAATAGGGACAGCGCAGCAAAGAGAGTACAGCCCCTCAGTATTAAGTGTGAAGTGGTGTAGTGTGGGGTCAAGCAACCTCACCGCTTGGAGTCATCCCTGAATTTAAATTTTATTGCATAAGTGGGTGCTCAAAAAGGTTGTGAAGTGGGTAACTTCAGTCATCTAGAATATAGTGTTCACTTATATAAACCATCTCGTTTCCTTATTCCAAATAGGTTAGAGACTTACCACCCTGTCCTCTGAATATTTCAGCACAATACAGGTTGTCCTCCTCCTAACATGTCCAATTTGACATCCTTTTACAAGTCAGGCTTAATCAGCTTTGTTCTAAGCAGTACTACAAAGCTGTCTTATACTTTCTCATGCAAAGAAATTTCTAGGCGAACGACTTTGGTTTTGAGATGGTTCCATTACTCATCTAGTCACGGATCTACTAAAAGACCAGGTGCCAGTATGTAGAACTACAAACTACGGGACCACAGGCCTTCCCACCTGATCCCATGGTTTCTCGTCAGTTAATCTTTGGTTGCCCTGTTCACTTACCTGCTCGCTCACCTGCTTGAAAGATGTGACGGCTGATATTTACAATGTTCAAAAACCATTTTCCTGGCCCCTGCGGCATCCACTGTTCTCTTCACCTTAAGTTTCATTAGAGCGAGGACACAATCCCTCCGCTTCCAGGGCAAATCCACTGCAACACTCCTTACGCCTGCTTCCCTGTGCCCAGACATGGCCGCACCAACGCAGAGAGGCAGCCACTGCAGCCAATCTTGCGTGTAAAAATCTATTGAAAAGCTTGTAAGATTCATCTGATGGCAGTTAAAAGTGATTCACCACGGTACCCTTTCCCATAAGTCCGAAGTGTGACAAGGAAGCTTGAGCGGTACTGTGTGCCATGAAAATGACAGATGCGGTTATTGCCACTTTTCTTGGGGAATCGCCCTGCAAAGGATGCTGGGATGAGAACACTAGGTAGACTCCCTACTGTCCTCCTTATTTTGATGTTCTTTCCTGGAAGTCACTTGTGGGAGAGATTTTAGCCAGTGTTCTTTTAGTTCTCAGCCTTTTCCCTACGCCTTCCCTCTTCCTCTTCTCAATGCTCTGAGACAGCTTTTATTTGCACCTAACTTCCTGTGCCATGGACAGGCACCCGGATTCCTCTGCCTCTGGTTAGTCAGCTCTTCCCCACCTGGCTACCAACTGCCTCCTGTAAAGGGACTCCTCCCACCTCTCACCTCAAGTATCACCTCACCTGTGCCTTCTTCGCACCTCCACTCATGGCTTCAAGTCATCCTTTCCAAGTATACTTCCACTCAACACTATCCCAGGACAAACTCGACCCCTTGCTCACAAAATAAATTGTTTTCAATAAGCCTCCTCTAACCCCCTAAACAAATAACATCCCATAACCCACCCCGCTCTAAAATATTGCTTTTCATAACCTCCGACAATATGCTCCTTTCCTCCCCTCGAAGAAAGAACCGTCTTCAGTGTCCCATCCTCTCTGGCACCGAGCCACCTCATCGAAACCATAAAGTACATACCTCCCTCTCCCCTCTCCCCCCACTCCCTCAACCACACAAAACCTCCCAAACAAAGAAAAACGACCTCCCATGGTCTTTTGCCTTCCCGTTCTCTGAGAAAGAAAATTCTCATGAGGTATATAAGGATCCATTTGTGTCTCTGAGGGTTTTTCCTTCCCAATTAAGGAAGCTAAGGAGAGACAGAGTAAGGCATTCCAAGGCCAAACACATTCTACTGTTTATTACACATATTACATTCTTAAATAAAAATGCGTCACATAACATCTTTTGCATAGATATCTTACAATATACCAATTTAAAAAAGAATTATGAAACAGACCAGTAACAAAAATAAATTTTTTCTTCATTAATAATTTGTAACATTAACATACCACCATCATATAATACAAATAATAGTTTTAAATCTTAAGACTTTTGTACAGCAAAAAAACTCGACAAAGTAATATATTTATATTTATATATATATATATATATATAAAAAGCTTAAAAAAAATAAAATGTCAAAAAAAGGCATAACCGAGGGCTATAAGACTGGGTACTTCTGTGATATATTATAAATACCAGAGAAGGCCTGAGAGAATGTGACCGGGGAGGTGGGTGAGGGGAGGGGCTGGGAGTAGGTCTCTCCAAACACACTTGTTAGACACATCTGGCAAAAAAGAAGATGGATAGTGCAAAAATAAATATTTTCAAGCCAACTGTTAAGAGGACAATAGAGATTTGAAAGAAAAAATGGTGGTGGCTGGGAAGTCGAGTGGTGGGAATAGGGAGGGGATGGTGAAAGAGAAGGAATTTGGGGAGATTTGTGGAAAGGAAGGGGAGGCTCCAGAAATATGAAACATTTATTTTTGCCTCTGTGTTAGCAAGGAGATCGTGGCCATAACAGGTGTACTTTTCCTCCCTGGAATGAAGCAGAAGTGGAAGATAAGAAAAAAAAAAATTAAGTCTGAGTACAGGAAATGCATGCTGGGAAAGAAAAAAATAAAATAAAATAAGGTTGAGAACCAGCCAATGAGCCCCAAAGCCTCTGAGGACCTAGATTGGCAGAACTTACTCTGTCTGGTCCAAAGGCCTAGGATGACAAGTCCCCTCTCCCCACCCTCAGCCCTTCCCCTTTATGTGGAACTCCCAGTGTGGTTTCAATAGACTGGCAATTATAAGCATCCATCCCCCCAGAAAGATATTAGGCACTGGTGGCTACTCCTCTTCAACGTCAGTAGCCTGTTTTCCTTCCGAGAAGGTACAGCAGGTACGTGGACACACATCCAGGTGTGTGCAGACATACCACCCTCAGTATTCTGACGTGGGGTCCATTTTATGGCAGTAGACAGAAGCTGGAGTCAAAGCAATTGGCGATTTCAAAGCTCACAGTTGAAAAAAATTGTATAAACAGTCCCCAACAAAGAATGGATCGACCTTCCCTCATGGCCCTTAGAGGGAGCCCTGTTTGAAAAGAGTGTATCTTGTTTGGGATATTTGTGAAGCAATGGCCTAGGATTTCTCTCTCCATGTTTGATACCTGCTTCCCCAAGGACTTGTACTTAAACGGGAAACACCTGAAGAATACAGTACTAGGTCGGAAGGGTGCACACAGCAGTTAATTGCAGCGTTAGCATCGCCCTTTCTGGGATCTATTAGGTACCAGCAGAGGAGGTTGAAGAGAGAGTGTTAAAAGCAAGAGAAAACCCTGAAGCCTCAGGCAGTTGGTCATGGGATCTCACACGGAGAAGCAGCTTTTGCTTCCTTGGACACTTTTGTGTTTGCTTGATCTCAAGTATTCCCAATGGTTCTCACTGAGGAAAGTAGGCCGTCAAAGAGGCCCTGACTAGGCGCAGGCCCTCTCGTGTTCACACGGAGGCATCACCATGTTTACCGAAATTTAATCCAGACCCAGAATGCAAATTCTCTCCTCCCAGCCCCACCCCACGCTTGGCAGGTGGCCATTTCCGGAAGATGCCAGGGGACACTTCCGCAACCGGTTCTACTTAATGAATTCTCACTTTGGCAAAGATCTGGGTGCAAAAGTGGCCAGATGTGCTGGCCCTCCTAAAAATTTTTTTAAAAAGAAACAATAAACCCGATTTTTATAAATTAAGTATGTTGCATCTCTCTGACTTTCCCCTCCCTTCTTCCTTTATCTAAAACCAACTTCTGCAACAAAGATGACAAAAGCACTTTGCACTGTATTTTCTCTTTTAGAAAGTGCCTTGCATAGAGGAAACTATTTTGAACCAATAAAACCAATCACTAGGTTTTTTTTTTGTTGTTCTTGTCATTCAAGTTTTTCTTTCTTTTTTTTTTCACTTTGCCATAGAATTCAGGGCCCTGGGTGAGTCCCCCTGAAAGTCCCATGTCCCTTCTGATGCAAACAGACATGGCTCACCTGAAAGTTTGTCCCAAACTAAAGTCCTTAAAAAATCTTCTCTGGCTTCTAGATTCAAAGATTTTTTAAAACATAGGGATCAGTTCTGCTATCATGCGTGAGGTTGGCTGTCTTTTTTTACCCTGTAAGAATCAGGCAATCAAAGATGTAAAAAGGGCACAAGAGGTGCAGGAGGAGAGAAGGTGGGGTTTAAAGGGCTTTGCAAGGGAAAGCAGGTAGAGAGGAGAAGGAAACGGTCAGCACGAAGTTCATTTTGGGGTCTCCGATCTCTTTATAAAACGCAGCTTTGTCATGGAATCCGAACGTCCGAACGCAACAGTCATCACCACCAGGCGTTAAGTTGGGCGGATTAACCGTTAATGGGGCAGGAGGCGGCCAGTAGCTAGGAGCAGCTTATCATTTCAGGTTTCCAAGTCTTTGACTTACAGCCGGGTGGTAGGAGATAGAAGCACAACTTGAAATAAAGAAAATTGTCAAAAATTGTCAGTGGCTTGGAAACACTCCTGTTCTCTACGTCGAATTCTGAACCCTGGATGAAGTGTGCTCAAGGGACCATCACAAGAAACACCTCGCCAGGTTTCTCCTTTCCAATCTGAGATCCCCTGGAATGCCAGGAGGTACCAATGGAAGGGAGAAAGCAGCGTGATGTGTTTCAAATGTCCATTGAAGCACTGTTTTAAACAACCTTCCCCTTTGGGAGCAAAACATTGTCAGGCCATTTCTTGGGAAGCCTGCTCACTCCAGCAGGCTCTTACTAACCATCTCTGCCACTCTGGAGATGATGGGCATTGTATCACCAATCAGCTTCCAAATGATAGGGGCCGTAGCCCCGCTCCCGCAGACAGGACTAGTTATCCTTCATGGGTGTCGATTCCGCTAGAGAACAGTTTCCAAGCCATACCCTTAGCACCCACCAAATTCTCAGGCCAATTCTCACAGCCAACAGATGACTCTGAAGCAAGCAAGCAAGCCCGACCATCGCGGTTCAGCGCCCCCTGCTCTGAGAAAGGTCAGGGGCAGATTACAAAGGACTTCAGTGATACAAGAGAGAGAGAGGAATTCCAGAACAGTTCAGACACTGATGAGGACCAAAGGGCCTTTGTTCCGCCACATTCAAATAAGGTCTTTTCCAGACCGCTGATGACAACAAGGGAGCAAACAAGCAATGGGGACTCGTTTGCATTCTTTAACTTTCTTTTTCATAGAGCCTTGCATTGGTTGGTTCAAAAATTAAAATATTCTAAACCCTTAGTAATAGCATTTCGAGAGGCCAGAACAGCTCCCGCTGGGGAGAGAACATTTGTAAATGGTGGCAGCCATGGCCAATGCCATCACCAGTGTGTGTGGGTGCATGTGCATTCCTGCTAGAGGCTACTATGGGGAGGGAGACCAGTGAACCAACACAATCTGGGGTGTCTAAAGTTTCATCTAGTGCACTGACTGGAGGCGCTACAGTTTAATACATCTGAGGTTCAAGCCCCCCCTCCCCCCCCCACATCCTTCATCCAGAAAGGATGCACCACACATTCAACTATAACCCCATGGCACACCCCGATGGACTGGCCACAAAACGCACTCCGATGCAGTAGAGAACTACAGGATTGTCAGCAAGCAGTGCTCCGGAAATTGTTCCTAAGTCATGTCTAGTTTTAAATCTTTGGAATAAAACTGATTTTTTTAAAATAGCCTTCAACTAACATATACATCATTGCCTCTGGCAAATGGGCAGATTTTGTGTGTGTGTGTGTTTTAGGGTGGTTTTTTATTTTATTGTCGTTATTTTGTTGTGGGTTTTTTATTTATTTTTTATTTTTTGTTTTTTGTTTTTGGTCTAAATTGAAAAAAAGAAAAAGGAGAAAGTAAAGTGTAAGGGCCAGACCTCAGAATGCCCCATGTGTCCAATTGGCAGCTACCACATCTGTGACAAAGAGGCTCCTTTACCCTCAGATGAGTAGATTCAACATTTCAGTGAAACCATAGGTTGCAGAAAGCTGAGAAACCAAATGCCAAGGATCTTGAAGGTTGCTGTCATAAATGTATTTGTGTTTCTTATATTATTATTTCCTCTTAAAGACTTCAGTGTTGCATCCCACACAGGTATGGGGTGGCATTTTAACAGTCAATGAGTCAAACAGTCAAAGGAGGGCAGGGAGGGGAGCCAGCTGGTATGAAGGAGCAGCAACCATGTGTGGACCAAGTGCCATTTTTGTGTTTTGTTTTTAGACGTGTCTTGAAGGGATGGTCCCAGAATATACAAAATATACAATCTGTCCTAATAACCACCCCTCTTGCTTGCATAGGCCATGTTATGGTCCTAAAGGCAGTCTTTGGAGTTGAGGCCAGTGCCAGCTAGCTAAGAATGCGGGTAGATAGAGATCGATATTGGATGTGTGTAGGGGATGGAAAGGAAGGAATGTAACCCCTTCGGAGTCAGTTTGCAGAGTAAACGTGAGGCCTCTGTTGATCCTGGGTGCTCTAGGTCACAAGTCATGAAGGGCCTAGCCAGAAAATAAATTAGAAATATGTCTCTCCTTTTAGACAGACGGCTAGAGAAACATCTCAACCCTTACCTTAAATGTCCACCCTTCATTCCCACAATGGCATTTTTGAATTGTGTGTCTTAACAAGTGGAGTAACAGGAGCTCAGTGGGCATGAGAGGAAGATAGATGATGTTTCTGAAGTCACTAGACTTGGGAGGCATCTTCCACTTTCCCCACTCCTGGAAAGAGTGATATTTTTTGGCTTTTGGTCAGGTCATAACCCAGAGTTAGGTTCAATATGCAGCTGCCCTTGGAGACTAGCAACATCTATGCTGAAACTGGGTACAGGGCAGCGATGACACACAGCAAGGGGTTGACCACTATGAGCTGAGGTCATGAAGCTTCAAGGGGATGAGAGAACTGTGATGTCCCATCTGATTGGTTGCTTTGAGAGCTGGACATCCAGGTGCTGAGAGAGTCCTGGTGAGGTTTAGTCCATGGAGGAAAGATAAAACATTTAAGCTTCCAAATAAGCTTTTCAAGTTTTCGTTAGCAAAAACAGAGAGATTAAAAAGAAAAAAAAATCTAGCACTGGCAATAGGTGAGGCTCAAGGGATAGACTGTGATTTATCATCAAGGACTTTATTCTCTTGGCCACTTTGCAGTCATGCTAGAAGTTTCCAGAATCCCTAGTGCATATGATGTGCAAGAGTCAAAAAAGTAAGAAAAGAAAACTCCTCCCTTACGAGTGAAGTCTAGAGAAATGCAGGCCAGAAAGGTGTAAGGTGTATTCCAGAGTCTGTCGCCGCTAAGGCCGTTGGTATCGACTGGAAAGATCTCAGTGGTGCTAAGAAGAACCAAAACCGATCAACAGTTCTTTGAGGAAGTCGGACGCACGAAATAGTAGGACTTTTCACACACAAAGGACAAATAAACCAAGAGTTAATTTTGGCTACCAAACTGCAATTTGGTTTTCTAGGTCATTTTCCCCCAACTATTTAGAAAAGAACAGTGCTACACATATGCAACTTTAAGACGCTGTGTTCTCCTATCAAGTTGCACGGAGAAGCAAGTTAGAGATAAGCCCCTCTTACGGCTGTCCACCTGCAGAAACGTCACATCCATTCGCTTTGATTTCCATTGATCGCAGCGGGAAATAATTCCAATAGCGCTGGCGTGAGCAGCCAGTCTGCCTTGCTGAGTTCACCTGGTCTCCTTCTTCTTCGTCTTCTATCATCTGGCTAGGGCAAGGCATGAAGAATAGCCGTATATATTTTAAATATAGCTGGGTGCATGATAGTGAGTGTTTGCGGGGGGAGGGGGAGGTTTCTGTGCGTGACAGCATGTGTGTAAGTGTGTGACTGTGTGTGTGTGTGTGTGTGTGTGTGTGTGTACACAGAGGTGTAGAAGTGAGAACTTTCTTCTGCGAGGCAATGGGTCCCCGCCTGAAGTCCAGCCCCCTGCCTCATGGCGTTTCCTTCAGACAATGGCCGACATCATGGCAACTCTGGCCTTTAGGGTTTTGTTTTTTTTTTAGATATGTCTCTTCATGTGGAGGGCAAGATGGTCCGATCTGGAAAAACACCTAAGAAATATAAACAACATCAAGGATATTAGTAAGGAACGCAACTGCCATCACCCCTTAGAAAATGATTAACTCTAACCCTTAGACAGAAGGTATGTTTTGAGAAACAAGGCAGTGTATTAGGAAGGTAAGCTCAGGGGTCAGATTGCTTGGGTTCAAATCCCAGCTCACCCAAAAGTTGTGTAACTCTGAGCACATTAACATCTCTGGGCCTTATTTACTCCTCTGTATAATGGTGATAATTATAGCACTCACCTCATAACTTGGTTGTATGGATTAAGTCAGACCAACTATATAAAGTGCTTAATCTATTGCCAGGCATGTAGTAAGATCTCAATGAATATTAACTATTATTATCATGATTGTCATTATTAAAAAAATATTTAAAAATATATTTGTATTTTAGAGAGGAAGGGAGAGTGAGAGTGAGATAGAAACATCAATGATGGCAGAGAATCACTGACTGGCTGCATCCTACACACCCACATTGGGGACTGAGCCCGTAACCCAGGAATGTGCCCTGACCAGGAACTGAACCGTGACCTCCAGGTTCATAGGTCAGCACTCAACCACTGAGCCATGACCTCCAGGTTCATAGGTCAGCACTCAACCACTGAGCCATGCCAGCCAGACATAACTGTCATCATTAAAGAAGAAATAAATATGCAAATGCTTTGTAAACGTGTGAGAAAGAAACAAAGCAAAGACAAGCAATCTGCCTGTTCAAAAGGGAGACATGGGGATCTGAGATGGTAAGAAGTGAAAGAGAGGACTAGGCATTGGACAAAACCTCTCTCCTTTCCTTTCTACATTCTGGGAACTTGGAGGAAAATAGTATTGTTGATAGACCACTTCATTCGAAGTAACTGTTCAGTAATGCGTATGTTCTGGACTTTTATTCTGCCTTTACCAATTGCCTACTCTGTGCTAGGTATCTAGTAATATATGTACAAGCCTTCCATTCCTTTCAGGAAAAAGAAAGTGAGAAAAACAACAGATCTTTAACATAATATGAAATGTAATTGCACCATACCAGAATCAAACTAGCGTCATTATTTGCTCAAATTCTAAGCAGCACATGATACTTAGCATTAGACTAGGTCCCTCACCATTGAGGTTTTATTTAAATGCAATACACCAGCAAAGCTACTTACTCATGATTAATTTATAATTGCTAATTTATACTTACTCCTCATAGGAGCAGTAAAAGGTAATAGATAAACTCAGCATCGAGAAATGCAGGATCAACTAACTCTAAGGGTAATAGAACCCCAGAGGGTATTTCCAAGTATATAGCAGGCAGATGACCTTAAATAAGAAGGTCCTTAAGGACTGAAATTTGTTCATTACAGAGAACCAGTCGAAGCCCTATGGTCGTTTCTCTTGCCCATGAAAACGGCACACTATGGGCATGTGGGCAGTAAGCCAACAGCAATCCTCTTGGGCACCAACGAGCTAGATATGGGCTGATAATTTCTTACCACCTATAAGTGGGCTGATTCAATGATCAAAATGCCTCCTCCCCACTGCAGAGACCTTGGAGATGCTACCCTGGGGAAGTCTCCCTGGATTATAATATGTTGTGCTGAGTCGGCATGGCCCGCCTATGGAGACTCGCAGAAGCAGAGACCTTTCACTGCCATCGGCAGCTGCATGCTCTGGGCTGAGAGACAAGATCCATCCTCTAGCAGCTGGGCACTCAATGAGCTGCACGGCTCAGTCCAATGGTTAAGGACATGGCAGAGCTGTCCCCTTTCTTTCTCCCCCAACCCAAACATGAAGCCAGAGGTCATCAAACCCAATGTCTTATGGTAAAGTGAATGTGGGCAGTGGGTCAAGTGTAAGAAACACATAGCCCACTTTGGATAAGTGGAGTGTTCCCTAGAAGACCCCACTTTGGATAAGGCGAGGAAATGTTGCTTTCTGTGAGAGCAGACAACAGAGCAGGGGTGATGATCAACGTCAACGGACCATCGGTCTGCCTTCCTGTTGGGAGACCGCAGGGAGTGGTGGGAACTTTAGGAATTAGTGACCACACGGCCAGCGCCAGTGGGTACTGTTACTACTCAGCTCCAGGATATTATGGGCACATCATCTGCTTTTCCAGACAAAGCCAGAAATACAGAAATTTTTTTAATGGCATACAGCAATTTCAACTGTTAGCAAAACAAACAAAACACGTGTCTGTTTTACTCTAGCTTATACATGAAAGTGTACATGGTCCACGCTTTCAGGAAAGGAAACCCCAATCCTAGCTTAGCTTCTAAATAAGGCAGTCTGACTGCTCACATTAGAAGAGGCAAGAAGGAGGTCTCTCATGCTCACACACCCCGTGGTGCCAACGGGACCCAGTGTCCTGTGCAGGGCCACCGATGCCCTCTGTCTCTGAAGGTAGAAGTCTTCCTGGGAAGACCCCCCCGGTCACCCCAGGCTTTCCTTTCACCTGCTTTGGGACCCCTCCACTTCCCGGTGCCACTGCCCAGACCTGCTCTATTCTTAGCACAACCCGTGCAATGGAAAGGCAAGGCCCTGCCCGTCACGAGACACCAACGGGAGTCCGGCCCCTCTTTCCCGACATCGATAAAGAGGCAGGGCGGCTGGCAGCCCCGCAGGACTTGGGGCTGTTCACAGACTCTCCCAAATACCGCGTCACAGAACCTGCACCGTCTGCTTCAAACGTTTCTAGCTCGAATGTAGAAACCATCCTACATTTGGATGAAGAAAAGAGAGCAGCGAGACGGTCCATCTCTGACATAGCCTTCCCTGAAATATCTAGTGGGTCTGAATTATTTCTCACATAAATCACCCAATCAGACTTAACCTGGATATGTCAACGGCTGCACAGTTGTAAATTCCGCAGTGAAGCCAGTTGACTTGAAGACAGAAACACTCTCTGCCCTGTTTCCAGGATGGTGGCAATCCGTAATGCGAAATCTCCAAGGAACAGCCTGGTCACCCTTCCAGGATGGGAGTGGGGTGTGTGTGTGTGTGTGTGTGTGTGTGAGAGAGAGAGAGAGAGAGAGAGAGAGAGAGAGAGAGAGCGCGCGATTCTGCCAATAGCCAGTATTCTCCTTCCTGCCCCTCCTCCCCATCACCCACCTCGCCATCTCCCTGGCTGCCTGGAACCTAGGGCCAGCCTTAGGTGGGAGTTGGGGGCAGTTGTCAAATAAGGAGAAACATGGCTAAGTATAGAGATACTTTGAAGTGCGGCTGGGACTTCTGAGCAGTGGGATGGAAGTGAGAAAACAGGCTGAGTTCTTGGGTAGCAGGAGAAAGCTAAAAGAAAAGAAGGACAATAGCTTCTCAAAGGGGACTTCCTCAGGCCTGGGGTGGGAGGTTATCTCTGGGCTCCAGAAGGAGTGGGGGCTTTATTTAGCTCTTAAAGAAGGAAGATAAGAGGAAAATAGCCTCTTCAGGAAGAGAGAAAAAAAAAAAAAGGAGGAAAAATATGAATGCTCCTTTATAAGCATCTTAAAGGAGCACGAAGCCAACTGGCCACCTGGGAGACTTGGCCACCCCTGACCTGGCCTCCAAACAAACACACAGGACTCCAGAGGAAGGTGCGGGGGGGGGGGGGGGGGCCAGCACCGGCCCGGGAGGCAGGATGCGAAAGCGCTCACATTTCCTCCCGAGGAGAGCCAGGCCTCCGTGGACATCCCGCGGCCCCTCCTGCCACCGTGTGCGCGGCTGGCCGAGCCGGGAACCCTGAGGCTCTCAGGGCTTTTATCGCATTAGAAGCATTTTTCTCATCATAACCGAGACCTTTAGGATTGCATTAAAAAGATGGTTAATTTTCTTAAGCTTCCTTCTAAACACAGAAATAGGATTAGAAGGATAACACGCTCAGATGCAAGCCCGTTATTTGATTATGTCTCAACCTAATCCTGCCTTCACCTTGGCCTGCAGAGTCTCCGTTTTGGGGTTTATTGGTTGATAATGCCAAGGCTGTCAGATACTATTACTAGGGTAGTTTGCTGCTGCTGCTGCTGCTGCGTGCTCTTTCTCCCACTGTCAAAACGCTGGGGGTTTGAGATGGAATGACGGGCTACATTCTCAAAGCCTCAGGCCTTTGTGCCTATTTTCAAAGGAGGAAGAAGGGTACAGGCCCCCAAAGGGTGGGAACCGTCTTCAGTAAATTCATGTCTAATAATACTTCAGAGGAAGGCCTTCTCCCTCACCATCCTTCCGTTCAGCTGGCTTTCTGCTCTTCGCGTTATAAAGGATGAGGGAAAATGCTACTGATGTTAATAAAAAAAAAAAAAAAAAGATCAGAAGAACCAGCTACAGGTGACCATTCTCTATCCTATTACTTTCCACTCTGTACTAAAATGATCAGTCTCCTCGTTGTCTCAGGGGTAGGAGTCATGTCGTATGGATACCCAGGGACTAACACGGTCCTGGGCCCAACGCTGATGTCCAGGTAAATGCTTGTCTGATGGAACCAAGGATTCATAGTATCTGTTGACTGCACACAAGAAGGCACCCTCATCTCGTGGGTTTTCTCAGTAAAGAAGTAAAAGGCATCCCCAGATCCGAGACTCTGAGAGAGAAGCTTGAAGCTTGTGATGAATCCAAGAGCCCTGGCAATCAGTCCGCCCACTCCAACCCCCATCTCCACCCCCAGCCCCCAACCACCACGTCCAGAAGCTTCAGCGTCTCTTTACCTGTCGCAGTGGTTGCATTTGAAGGGCTTTGCACCTGTGTGTTTCCTGTAGTGCCTCGTGAGCTCATCGCTTCGTGCAAAACGCCACTCACACCCCTCCCAGGAGCACTTGTAAGGCTTCTCACCTGCAGGGAGAGAGGGAATGGCCATGGTCAATGGCAGAAATAACGGGGCCACATTGGAGAAGGGCTGTGCCCACCCCCCTGAAAGACCATGTCCTGAGGGCAGAGGGCCATGTATTTTCTGGTCTCCTGGTGTTTGTTGCTGCTGCTTTTTTTTTTTTTTTTTTTTTTTAACTTCAAACGTGGTTTTCCAAGATCCCCAAATCTGGGGCTGTCACTGCCATTCCCAGAGTCAGAGCACTTCCTTCGACTGGGGAGGGATCAATTTTATTTATTTTCTTATCCCCTGGAGTCCTCTGACCCCTGCAGCCCCAGCAGACAGGAAATGTGCTATTTTCATCCGAACCACAAATGCTTCTAATCTATTTTTCTCCAGAACCTACAGTAATTTACCATTTCAGCCCTCTCAGCCTCCTCCCTCCTCTTCTCTCCCACCACAAACTGTGCCCAGGTAGCTGCCTGCCCAGGCACACGGCCCAGGCCTCCCAGAACCCCCGCTCCTTCCAGTAAGTGTGTGTGGACGGATGGACGGGTCAGGAGAAAGGGCCACAGTCTGAGGGTGAAGCAAAAAATCACTCGGTGATTCCCGGCACTTCTGTGGAACACGGGTCCTATTTAAGGAGCCTGTCACCAATGACTCCCGCGCGCTCCTACCAGAGAGAGGCACACGTGGTTTGCAAAATAGGTCCAAGTCCATTTGAGGAGCGGGGGTTTTAGCCACAGGGAAGCTGCTTAAAAGCACGAAATTCGAGCTCTGTACTCAAGTGACCTTTTGCACAGTAAATGCAGAGGGAGGGACGCAGGAAGGGAAGTGTGTGGTTGTTCCTGTGCCTTTCCTTTTTTTTCTTAGCCCATCCATGCCCGTCCCCCAACATGACAAATATTTACCCTTCCAACTGCATGGTTTGTTGGCTCCAATTAAGAAGAAAAATGGCCTTTAAAGCCACATGGAATCACGAGAGCTGGTGACCGAGCCCCGGAACAGAGGCAGGTGAGCGCCAGGGTCAGGAGCTCCCACGCCAACCTTCCCCGGCTCAGCCTCCAGTTCAACCCCCACATCGTCTAAGCCTGCGGTCGGCAAACTACGGCTCACGAGCCACATGCGGCTCTTGGGCCCCTTGAGTGTGGCTCTTCCACAACATACCACGGCCTGGGCGAGTCTATGTTGAAGAAGTGGCGTCAGAAGAAGCTTAAGTTTTAAAAACGTGGCTCTCCAAAGAAATGTCAATCGTCGTGCTGTGGATATTTGGCTCTGGTGACGAAGGAGTTTGCCGACCACTGGGACTGTAAGTCAAGGAGCCTCTCTTTGCTCCTGTTTTCTTAGATGTGATGGGTTCGGAGAGGATACATTCATATTATGCGAATTAATATATATAATCTATTAATTAGAACAGTGCCTGGCACGTGGGAGGTTCCTGTAAGCTGTGATCGTTATAAACTGCCACCCCCCCACACTTCAGGGCACACAAGGGGCCAGAGGACCGTGTCTGGCGGCCCCATTATCTCCCTCTTCCATAGCTCAGCCTTCCCGAGGCAGCCCCGAAAGGGCCTGGCCCCAGACGGTCCTTGACTCACTTTCTTTTCCCCACCTTTTCTCTCCCCTTTAAGCCCGACTACAAAGTGATCACAATTCTGTATTTGTATCCCCTGGAATCAAACCAGACGTGACTGAACACTGTGTTTCATTACACCGGTGCCCCAGCGAGCCGCGCTCTGTGGCCCGGCGGAGAGGGAGGAGAAGGCCGGCTCTGAGAGGGAGCCCGGGAGCCACAGGCGCGGGCGCACAGGAGGGGACCATTCAGCGCTGGGAACCGGGAACATGAATCACCGCGCGGTGTCACTGGTTCGCCTTCGGCATCCTGAGAGCCGCGTTTTTAGAAAAGGGCACCTGCCGAACAGCGGGTGGAGAGGGGAGATGTCAAACCCGCGCCGGGGCGAGCACGCCTGGGTCTGTCGGAGCTCATTGTGCCGCGGGGCCTCCGTGTCACCTGTCAGGTGCAGGGAGCGCCCGCGGTGAGGGCGAGGCTTAGGGGAGCCGTCATGGGAAAGACACGTTTCCTGAGCCTGGCACAGGTAAAGGTTCAGTGAACTTGAACTCCCTTCCTCCCCAGGTCACCTGCGCGCTCAGGGGCTGAGGAGGAGACAGGGCTCGCCGGATGCCAATAGGAACATTCAGAGTCCAGTTCCAGGCAGCTGGCAACCAGAATATTGAGAAACAGAGTCTGTGTAAGCTTTCGGGACGCTCTCCGTGTGCTGATGTAGAGGGGGTCAGGAGAAGCCAGCATCCTTTAGATCTGCTCGGGGTGAGGAGGGGGCCGAAGGGGAAAAGGGAGCCCCGCCCGCGGGAGAAGTGCCCTCTCCGAGTGGCGGGTCAGCATCCTTCTTCACGCTACTGATTGCCCACAAGGCTTTGTTACTTCAAGGAAATCTAGCACAAGAAGAACGACACAAAGAGAGCATGAGGCACCAAAGACTTCAGAAATTCAAAACGCCCTCCACCCCCAAAGGCCTTCCTTCTATTGCAAGTGAAACTGGAGGGCGCTGGAGCCCCGGGGACCCAACAGCCCAACACAGCCAGGCGCCTGGAAATCCCAGGACATTCCACTGCAAGGAGCAGCGACATCCGGTCCCCGGTCCCCGGAATCAACCCACCATCAAACCGGCCGTCCCTCACAGGCCACCACCTCCTGAAGGACAAGGAAGGACACGGAGAACATGAAAGCAGGAGGTTCCAGCGGAGGTCTTCGCGTTGTTTTTTTTGTGTGTTTTAGGGTTTTTTTCATTTCAAACCGAGTGCTTTTTTCCTGGCAAAATCTTTTAAATTAGCTCTCTTTTGTTTTATTGTGACAACTGATAGCCAGGATTTAGTTACCTCCCGTGAAAGAATGCAGGCTCTTAGTGGATTCTGGCACAGCCCCGCTGTCCTCCTCAGGAGCCATTCCAGGGTCCCCCTGGCAACTGTGGAGACAGCCACTACACAGGTGGCTTGCCTGGACGGAGTCAGGTCACCAGCACTGCTTCTGGCTCACGGCTCCGTGCTGTACGGAACCTCGCTGAGGACAGCCCCTGTCCCTGACAGCTTAGCCAAGTCACAGTATAGTGAGTCACCAAGCTATTTCCCAGGGTCAGCTCAGTTTACCTGCAAGTTTCCATGTCTGCAAATACTCACTAATAAGAAATTTAAAATTATATATTTAAAATAATCACTTTCAGCCAAAGGAAGGAGTGGTGTCTGAAACAGGCCGAGTTAAGAAAGCAGAAGAAGGAGGGGGGGAGATTAGAAATATGGCTTCATATTTAGGGTTTAGGAATAGTGGGATGAGGCTGACCTTGTTTCCGGGTTCTATACCCACTTCCTTAAGCCAAGTTCTACTCACAAGGAGGCTAGAGAAATGGAAGTGTTTTGCATAACCGAGCATCCCAGCGCCTACTGCTTCACCTTGGGGGTGGAGCCACCTATTATCCACAGTGTATGCATTTTCATCCTAACAGCCTACCTGAAGACTGTGCTCACTTCATAAAAGCTTGAGGGCTTTTTTATAAAACAAAAGAAAGTTGTTGTTTGTTTGTTTTCAGAAACAAAAGAAGGGAGGGAGGGAAGAAAGGTAGGGCGGAAGAAAGGTAGGAAGGAGGGAGGGAGGGGAAAGAAGTAGGCAATTCAGTCATAACTGGAGCAGATTTCATGCAAAATCTGCTCTTCTCCCTCACCCTCCCTTCTCTCCTTGCTCTAGTACGGATACTACTCCTGGGTATAGAACAGAGAACGTCAGACCCCTGCACAATACTAGACTGCACCGCACCTGGGGTCATGCTGCCACTCAGCTCGCACACCTCAAGAGCGAATGAAAATGTCAAAAAGACAGGCAGATGGGACAGAGGCTTAAAGCATTAGGACTGCAGTCCCGGAGTGTGTGAAGGAGGGCGGGCACACCCCCAGAGCATGCAGGAGGGAGCGTGACAGCGCCTCCGTTCACAGTGCCAGAAGCAGAACACGCTCTTCAGAGCCCCCTGAATCTTAGGAGGAATGCCAACAACGACTTCTCCCTCCTGGAAATGAGCCCCGGGAACTTGTCTCCCTGCGAGAGTCCACGTCACCGCTGCAGTGACAGCAGGTCTAAGGAGGCATTCACAGATCCATCACCAAACCAGGGCTCTTGGAGGGAGTGAAGGATGCTCGAGAAACAGGCCTGGATCATGGCAAGAATTCACGCTCTCCCACAAAATGGCCCCTGAAAGGTCACGTGGTCTAAACCAGTGTGGCCTCTATTAGTTAGTTTCCTACAGAGTAAGTCTCCCTACATCATGATCATCAAGTTTGGTTGATCAAAAACACATAAATACTTTCTGGACACACGTCCCTTTGGTACATATATAGGTTTGTTCATGAATTATATGAATACTTATGGTGCCAGTATCCATATAATTCACGAATTATATGAACATACTGGGGGAACACTCTGTAAAACATATGATTATCTGCCACTATGCTATACACCTGAAACCAACACAAGTGAAAGTGAACTGTAATTGAAAGTGAAGAATAAAAGAAACGCACTTTACACTGGAATTCGCAACACGCAAGGGAACATGTATAGCCATGTTTGTGTTTCATGAGACAAACATTACATACGTGAAACAAAACCTGCTGCCTTATGGGTTAGTGAACACACTCTGATATTTCTGTTCAATCCCAGTTCATCTACCAAAAAACAAAAAGTGCCATGACCCACTAACTAGGCTGATGTTTTAAAAAAATTGGGGTAAATTAAATATGAAGAGAAGTTATAAATGTCCCTTCCTGCATTCAGAACGCTGTGCCGTGCACCCCGCCTGGGAGACGCCTGTCCTCTGGTATAAATTCGAAGAGCTTGGCCTCACGCTGGCTGGCCTCCAAACATCCATCCTTGGTCCCTCCCGTCTGCTGTCCGCAGCAGTCGGAGCAGTCTTCTGCAAACCTAAGTCACAGCATGCTGTCCTTTGCAGGAGACCGAATTCCTTATATC